CCGCCTCCGTTCGCGGTTTTAGCACCCTCCTTCGCGAAAGCTCCTGGAAACTCTGTCGGTAACGTTAGGTCGGGTTATATCGAACCCAGGAAACCTCCGGCGAGGAAGAGAACTCGGCTTGAACTCCGATGGAACTCCGGACGGAAACTCGGCGTGAACACTCGGCGTGTCGCCGCCAACTAAGTTGGAGAACACCACCCACTAACCTCCGTAAGGATTCCTCGCTCATCTAGGAAGCATCGGTGGCAGCCAGAGAGTCCAACCACCTTACACGCCTCCGTACCTTCAGCTCTGATCTTCCGCCTACCACTATGAACATGGGCCAGGCCGCAACCATAAGTTACTACTAATGTTGTTCCTGTGTTTCACGGCTGAATTTGTTGAGAAGGATGTCGGAGGATAGTTAGCTAGTTTTGTAAAATTTCTGCGCGATTTATTTTATTAACTTTTTTGCCATCAAATATAAGTAACAACATAATTTCTATGTAAATTTTTTATTTTCTGACTGGCCATGTTAGGTTTAAACTATGCCATGATATAATACCACGTTCAAACTGTGGTATTATATAATATATAATATTCTAACATTATACACTTAAACAACGTTAGAAAGTCTTAAAAACTTTTCAGGCTTTAATATAAATTTCAGTTTAACGACGCTGGAGAAGACCGTGTGAAAACATATCTTCTTACGAAGTAGTCCATCCTTAAGCTTCTAACTTATTTTCTTCTCCTGTTTTGAAGGAAGCACTTCCGTTTCGCGGCCGAACTTCGACATTCCACCACTTCGAACGAGTCTGTCGCGAAAGTTTAATTAGATCCACCTTGAGGCAATTTCAGGCTCTTCTGCCATCGGTCGCCACGGCAGCAAGTTAATGAGTCGATAATAAATTTTATTCAGTTACAAAGATAGTGCCCTTAATGAATCTGAGGAAATATTTAAACTATTACTTTATTTGATTACCACAAAATTCGATTAATTTCGCTACGTAGTTAGTTAAAAAAATTTATATTACTTTAAGTATATCTCTTTTATAGAGATCGTTTTTTCTCTTTCTTTAATATCTAATATAAGTATGTATAATTCTGTAGCTGTAATTAAAAATTGTATGGGAACGAAACAAAACATTACATACTTAAATGCGTTTTTATCTTACATGCGCGATGATTACCGAAGTGGAAATCTATTCTCATTGCAAATGGAACATTTTTGTAGCGATTTACGATTAACACATACACGGCTTTTTTTTACCATCCTGTAGCGAATTTATCTAAGTAAATTATCAATCCCGAAGTATATACCGCCTTGCTGTGGGCAACAGATTTCGTGTAACGACAGGCGGGAACGAATACCAGGAAGTGATGGGTAGTTTTATGGATTTACACGATACCGAAATACAAGTGGTGAATCGACCTCGACCGAGGAACTTTATTGCATTACGCCATGCGGCGTTTTTCCTATCGTCGTGCGGTCTCGTTGCACTGTGAGCATTAACCTCATCGAATTGACCCTCTACTTTGGCTTAGTCCGGGTCCTGCGGTATCTGGCCTCCGTTGGAGAATCAACGAATTCCCTGGATGACTCTGAAGAGCCGCGCGAGGATTCCCGACATCGTAAGAACCGGCTATTAAGACGGCGATAATAGCCAGCGATAATTCGCCTTTGTTAATTAAAGCGTAACGAGGCAATAGCTCAAAGGTTTCATATAGTGGATCCGACTACGCGATCTTCATCTTTGATTCTCCGCAATGCGACTCATGATTTATTCACAGGCAATTCCTGGGACGATTTTATAGACTCCGATTTTATCTCAAGATAAATCCGACGTGGACTTTTTTTTATTACTGTGTATGAAATTTGATCAGCGTAGAGTTTTTATTTATATTAATTTTTAATATTAAAAGAATTTTATCTCTAAACATTATACATTCACATACAATAACAATTTATTTTTTATTTTATTTATCGTAAAATATAAAAACATGAATTTTTAAAACATTATATTTAAATCATTTAAACAATATCAGATCTACATATCTGATTTCATTTTTGACAACAGGACTTAATCTCATATAGTTTATCAGTATATTTTGTATTAATACATTGTTGTCTAATGCTCGTACCGTCACCCAAGAAACTTTCTTATCGCGTACGAATAATTGCTCTAATCTAATTGAACTTAATTGTATCTTGTTCCAAGACACTTTACTGCAATTCTATTCTTAACGATTTGTAATTTGCGGGTATAGAAAGAGACGATTTTGCAAGAAGAATCCTCGTGGGCACTTCATTGCGTTTTACCCTTCGTTTCCCCTTAACCGTTCGATCCAGTCTTTCTTCGTAGCCTCTTCCATCGATGTTGCATCGTTGCAAAGAGAAGAGCGATTCCTTAATTTCCCATATTGTAGCTCGTCTCGGCTATATCAGGACGCCCTGCCGCGTTATAGCGCGGTTTAATCACACTACAAGCGCGCATCCCTCGTTAGCGGAATATCGTGGTGGCTATAATATGAGGCTACATTCCACGCAACGAATACATTCGCAAGATGCGGCATGCTGTACAAGAAATTTTCACCGCTCGGGAGCGCCGTCTAAATCTTGTACCGCCGTTACGAAATCGGTAATAACCTTTGACTTTTCTTCATTGACAAAGCAAATCAACGCTATTACGCTTTACATGAATTGTTCGTGAAATTTAGCATTCCGCGAACGAAGTATTATACAATCTCTTTTAAATAAATCTCTCGTTTGCGATTTTTTTATCGAGAATGATAATTCAATCTTTTTACTGAATACGATTAAAAATTTGGCAGCGTTGTCGCCGTGATTTATTTTATATAAAAATAAATTTAACTACTCTGTTTTTCTTTACATAACCATAATCTTTGTAAAAGGAGATGTACAATTTAAGATGATATAAAATTTTAATTTCTATACAAAGAGAATTAATATCATTTTTCGACATAACAAAAGATAATTTTTGTAAAATGTTGAGTAATATTTTGATAAATAGTGCGATTATAACATAACACTTTTTATGTTTAAATATATTTTTGCATTTTTGGAGCAGCTTTAGATCGCCATGAAAAAATTTACTTTATCCCAATTGTCTCGCGTTATTATAGTATTATTGAATCTATAGTGATCGTGCTCGTTGAAGAAGCAAGGAAGAATGGGGGCAGCTACATCGAAGAGCGTTGAGCGTAGTTGAAAAACACTCCTAAGGAAACCGAAGAAAGAGACAGAGCTTGAACGAAGGGGGATGCTCGCAATAATTGTGATTTACGATTTGGTCGCTGGCAAAGTAAAGCGCGGAGAGTTCGTTTGAAACGGTGGCGACGTATTTTGCGAGGCAGAAGAACTTGTCGGCAAGACGAGAAGATGAAGAAAAAGGCGACTGCAGGGTATGGTGAGCGAGGGAGAAAGGGAGAAAGCGAGATTGCGGGTTTCCTGCTTTTTGACAAATCGCTGATGAAAAATCCAGCGAACCGTGGGAAACCGCAATATATTAGACCGCTTTTCATTGGTTGACCTCGTGTATCTATATGAGAATGGTCCATGAGAATAGATGAAAGCCCTAATTGGTTCTTTTTCGCGATTGTCCGGAACCGATGATTTAACTAGCAAAGCTCGTAATTCCGTTTCGACATGTATTTCCGTAGCAAAATCGGGGGGAAGACCAGCTTCTTATTAAATATACCTAAAGTGTTGCTAACTGATACAACGGTAATTTACCCTGATGATATGCTAAATTCTGGAGCAAAATATTACGTGATCTTTCATTTTTAATATACATACGTCTGCGATATATCATTTAAAGGTTGCATTTGATAAATCTACTGGTGGCAAACTGTGTATAATATCGAGGGATACAGATTGAGAGAGGAAAATTTTAGCATATGAAAAACTTAGTAAAGCATTTCACAATGGCAGTGTTTCGGATTTCAGCGGCATTCGTTTATCCGTCTCATTCTTTCTGTCTTCATCTCGCTTGTGTCGTCAGCTTCGGTTGAACGTTTGCTGGCGTAGAGGGTAGGACGCAATCAGTGTCCTTGATTTATCGTGGCAATATACATTAAGATACCGACATTAAAACTAGGGGAGTCTCCCATGGATTCCGAGGCTCCATTACCGCTTAGGACAGAGGAGAGCTGTCGTCACATTGCATCGAAATGCTTGGGCGAGATTGAATTCTCAGCTGCATTTGATATATTTTCCTGAAATTAACGACCGATTATTCACGTGCTAATCCGTTTTTTTTTCTCTCTTCCATTAACGATTGCAAAAATCGCAGCAATTTATTTACATTGACTGTTACTAGCAACGTTATTGGATGCAACGTTGTTGTTGATGTCATTGATTATAAAAAGAAAATTATTATATAACTGCGAGAAAGAGAAAAGCTTTCAATCAATAATTCGAAGTATTAATAAAAAAAGGCATATACACTATACATATGCTCACACACACATACATGCATACACACACCCACACACACCGATGTCGGCAATGTCACGAACAAATTAAGAATATTAAATTATAAGTAATATATGTTATTCTATTAAGTTTTGTATCTCATGTTACAAAGTTTTCTCTTACTGTTTAATATTTTTTCAAATTATTAACATGTCTTTAAAAATAAAAAACTATTTCAGAAGAAGTAAATTTATTTTTATTTTGTCTCTCTTTCTTCAATATGTTAAACAAAAATATGAGTCAAAAAAGAAAATTAAGAACATTTCGAGCTTACGATATAAGTTTTTGAAATTATCAGAGATATGATCGTGACTTTGGTGAATCGCATTACATAGTTCGCTGTGCTCCCCGATATATGCTTCTCTTGATCTCTCTCATCCTACCTCTTTGCCATGAGGAGACTGAGTATCGAGTGGGCATCGAGGTCTCGAATTTCTCGAGAACTTTGGAAGGGGTTACGGCGAGCTTGTCCAGTACCCGCCTGCCAATTATGGAACAGAGATCTAACCATAGTAATGTGTAGTGTTTCCACCATTGTCCGCAGGACCAAGCGGGGCATACAGTCCGGATGCGACGATGGGCTACATGATGGACGGACAGGCGGCCAGCATGATGCACCGACCGCCTGGCGATCCTACCTTTCACAATCAGTACCATTATCCAGAGTACTACGGACATCACTTATAAAGGTTTGTATAGTATATTAATATTCCGATTATCACTTTGATTAATTCTACATCAGATTACAATGTGTGTCCTTATGAAATAGCTTCTATTTGTTTCATCTTATTACAAATGCCCTAGGTCAAATTAATTTCATAACAATTAAAATTTTTATGCAAACGGATTATAATTCTCTGCGGTCAACTTCTACTCTGATGGATCTGGCTTGTCTTTTTAAACTTATTTATTGCTGTTATTATTTAAAGATTTCTGAAGGAAGCAATATCATGATTTGTTTAACTTCCGTTATTTTTTAAATTAAATTTATGTTTCGTAGACTTTGTTTCTATCATGAATGTTTTTCCATTCAAAATTCCTAATATCATATATACAGGATGGCAAGTTCATGAATCGAATTCTTTGCTTGAGTTGTGACTGTTTTAACACTGAGCTATCCAACATCTCAATTAGTTTATATAATCTATTCAAAAATAGCTATGAAAGATCTGAGAAAGAGAGAGAAACAAAGGCATTTAAAAAACTATATTGATCAAAGTTACGAATAAAATAGATTAAATTTTAATGTTAATATTGCAATAATATCGTGTCGCGTTAAACTGAGGATCGTTAACCTCGGATGTTTCAGGAGTACTTGCAAATTGAAATGGACGATGAAACGACGGTTCCAACGACACGAAAAGCGTGACGGACCTACCGTGCACCGTTGGCGTAGATCAGAATTGGAGGACAACGATGACCTCCAGGGCGATCACCATGGTAGTCCTGATAATTTCTTACTACGCCGTACGTCGAAATTCGTGACACTTGGATGCTTGGGAACGAGGAAAAGAAGAAAAAGCCAAGTTTCAAAGAGAAAGGACAAGGTAGATGAAACGCCGCGGGAGGCCGACAAGAGGAAGATCATAGAGACCGTCGAAGGAAGAAGGACGGTTACGAGGTGGGGAAAAGTAGCTACGAAAGCGATGCGAGAAAAGAAGGACACAAGGGGAATGAAGCCGCGGCTTGGTCTCGATCGAGAATGACGCGGCCGCGAAGAAATTCATGTGATTGTTCTTTGTACAAATATCGCGGTGTAATATTGTAGTGATTGAAGAATTTAAATGTTAAATTTTAATACAGTCGCGATCGAGATATATTAATGAAATATAAGTGATATATAGGCAATTTAGCGGGCATGTACATTAAAAAGGAGAGGCAAATACACCCGGTGCTCGCACGGAATAGAGAATATATTCAAGTGCACAGACGACGCAAAAGAAAAAGAGTACGAGAGGTATACAAAGACGAGGACAAACGAAGTGGCGCTATATATATGTATGTATACACATACACACACACACACACACACACACACACACACATACACACACAACACAAACATATATATATATATATATATATTATAAATAAATATAAATAGCAAGACAGAAGATGAAAAGAGAAAGAAGATTATTAGATGGCACGGGAGATGTTTAAAGGTATATAAAAGCAAACGGACGCAAATACAAAGGAGAATTAGATCGAATGATATCGACGCGTGTGCCGGACTCGAGCGTCGACCATTCAATTGCATATATATATAGGAAACATTAAAATTTGTACAGTTATTAATTATAAATGAATTTACTAATTAAAGGAAAAATATATTATATATATATATATAATATATATGTATATATATATATATTTATATTATATATATATATATATATATATA